GAGGAGGAGGAGGAGGAGGAGGAGGGAGGGGAGCGGGAGATAAAGAGAGAGAGGGAGGGGTCACGGGTTCTCAGAGGGACAAAAGCTTCCAACAGCCACCTCGTTCCGGAGGGGTAGGGCCGGCCAGTCGGTCGGTGGAGCTGCGCATGGCCCGCCTCTCCGCGTCCATCAGAGTGAGGTGGCCGCAGGGCGAGCGAGGGTACTGTGCTCCCGTGGTTGTCGACCATTCGAGGGGAGGAGCCCTTCCCGAATGAGCGAGTCGGGAGCACCTCGACCGCAGCACAGGGTCTCGAAGCTCGCACTCGCTCTTACATCAACCTGGGACCATGAAGAACAAACACAGACCATACCAAACTTCGAGAGATCCTGCTCCTCCTCCTCCTCCTTTTCCTCCTCCTCCTCTTCCTCATCCTCCGCCTCAGCGTAAGAAGGCAAATGGGGGCGACGAGGCCGAAAAGAAAGAGTGACACATTCTACAAACCGTCAGCGCGCACAAGAGAGCGCCTCGGGTGCCTTGGCCACCGCGTCTGCTGCTTCCGTTGCCTCGTCTACGGCCTCGTTCACGGATGGGGAGGGGGGAGGGGGAAAAAGAAGCGCAGAGCGAGGAGGAGGACGAGGAGCAGAAGGAGGAGGAGGAGGAGGAAGAGAAGGAGGAGGAGGAGGAGGAGGAGGAGGAGGAGGAGGAGGAGGAGGAGGGGAAGGAGCAAACCGACCAGGAGGATGCCGAGGAGGGGAACCTGTTCAGGAGGGATGTCATGAGGAGGTTTAGGATCAGGAGGGGGAATGCGATGAAGAGGATGAAATGGGAATGGGAGGAGTGAGGGGGACGGGGAGGAGGAGGAGGGGAGAGGCGAGGAGGAAGACAGGATATCTAGGAGGAGGTGCCGCCACCACCAACACTGCGACGACGCCTCTGAACACGATGACCCCCACGACCACCGACGCCACGACCACGACAAGCGCCGGCACGTTCGCCACCGCGACGAACGCCGACCAGCACAACGACCACGACCACGGCCAGCACGACGGCGCCATGACCACCACCACTGCCATTATCAACACCGACCTGACCGCCCCCGCCCCTGGACGCCCCTTTCCTTTGCTCTCCCTGCCCCTGCCGGGCCGCCCTTGTTGCCGCACGCGCCTTGCGCTTCGCCTCCGCATTCTTTCTTGCCCCTCCCTTTCCTCCTCTGCATTTCTCCTTGCATGATTCAGTGACTAGTAGAACTTCACTTAGAGGCGGAAAGCCACCTGACCAGTTCTTAAAGAGCTGTGTCGGGTAGGTGTTTTTTTGTTGTTAAGGACCTGGGACCTTGGCGTAGAGTGCCATCATCACCACCACCATCATCAGCAGCAGCGTACCCATCATAATCACCATTACCGGCATCCTCATCTTCATCATCCTCATCACCATCATCAGTAGCAGCATCATCCTCATCTTCATCATCGCCTTCCATCATCATCAACAATATTTTTACTCCCAGCATCATCGTGAACACCATCATTAGTCTCATCATCGTCATCATCATCGTCATAATTATCATCACCAGCATCGTCGCCGTAGTCATCATCCTCATCATTAGCATCGCCTCCCTCTCCTCCCCTCCCTCCGACGTTCCCCTTCCCGCCTGAAGGAGAGCGGCGCCGCCCCGTCGTCCCCGCTGGCGACCGAGAGTGCCGCCGCCGCCAGCGCGGAGGCCAGACGGCGACGACGGCGACGACGCGGGCGCGGCGGCGGCGGCGGCGGCGGCGACGACGACGACGACGACGAAGACGATGGCGGCGGCGGCGACGACGACGACGACCACGGCGGAGGACATCGGAGGTCTGGCTCGCCACCAGGTGCTCCACGGAAGTCTCGAACTGCCCGAGGACTGGGGGCCCAGTGGATCTGGGCCCGCAGGGCGGGAGCAACCACGGGCCCTCCTTCGGGCAACCTGCGCGCCAGTGTGGCATTCTTGGGATCATGGGGGGGCTCCTGACAGCCATCTTGGACTTGAGCCCTATGGGGGTCTCTTGGAGCCTCCAGGTCTAGGGGTGTCTAGAGGCTTCCTGTGACCCCTTGTCTTTTGGGAGTCCCTGGGGCCTCTCTTGGAGGCTTGGGAGCCGCCTTGGGGACGACGACGACGACGACGACGACGACGACGACGACGACGACGACGACGACGACGACGACGACGAGCGGGGACGACGAGCGGCGACGAGCGGCGGTGGCGAGCGTGCGATGAAGCGGCGGTGGCGAGCGTGCGACGATTGCCGAGCCCGCGGCGGCGGCCTCAGTCCCCCCCCGCTGCTAGAGGGCTCGCCCGACGCCGTGGTGCCGCACGGCGCTACCGAGGGCGCCAGGGCGGCCCCGCAGGCGCCCGCTGCTGTCGGCGACGCCCACGACGACGGCGGACGACGGAGTCGATCCGCGACGACGACGCGACGTCGATGACGACGACGAAGACGACGACGACCACGACGACGGCTACCACGTCGGACGGCAGCGACGCCGACCACGACGACGATTGCCACGGCGACGGCGGCGACGCCGACGGCGACAATGCTCGCGGCTGGTGGCAACGCCCGCGGCTGGCGATAATGCCGACGACGACGACGACGACGACGACGACGACGACGACGACGACGACGACGACGACGACGACGACGACGACGACGACGACGACGACGACGACGACGACTGCGGTGACGGCGACGACGGCGACGACGGCGACGAAAATGCCTTGGCAGAAGTGGTAGATGTGGGCAGACTAGGGACGCCCGCAGAGACTTCTGGGGGTCTCGCGGGACCTGTGGAGACCTCCGGGAACCTCCTTGGAGATCTCTGGGAACCTCCAGGGACCTCTGGCGTCGTCGCCGACGCCGTCGTTGGGGAGGCACTTGGGCCCTTGGGTGTCTCTGGATGTTCGCTTCCCCCCCTGTTTGTTGCTTCGCGCGGCCCGCTTAGCTTCGACCGGAAGAGGTGCGCTCTCGACCCGCGAATCAAAAAATGTCGCTGGATGTTATTGTCGCCGCGGCCAGGCGCGCCTCGGAGAACTTGCCAGGACCGCTCCTGGGGCCCGCCGGGTCGAGTGGAGTTCGCATTCGTAACTCCTCGTGGGAGGTCTGCCGGCGCCCACAGGAGGCATCCGTACGCCACCACCACGCCTGGCCCGGGCCATCCTGGACCATGGCTGGGATGGGTCCGGTGGCCGGTTCTGCAATGGTTTAGTTTGGGGGATGGGGGGTGCCAGACGCGGCGGGCCTGTCGCTCCGCGCTGGGCCCCGCGGTGTCCTCGCGCACAGATCCAGCTCGAAGAGTTTCAGAGCCCCGAATCATCAGGGGTGACTCGGGTCAGGGCTAATGAACTCGGGTTCGGTTTTCGGGATTTTCCGAACCCGAGCTACCCCGGGCCCGAGTTACCCCGGATAACTCGGGCGTCCAGAGCCCCAAATCATCAGGGGTAACTCGGGTCAGGGCTAACTCGGGTTCGTTTTTCGGGAATCCAAGCCCGCGTTACCCCGGACCCGAGTTACCCCGGATAACTCGGGCGCCCAAGAGTTGGGCACGAACGTGAGGTCCAGACTTCCACCTGTCTCCCGCAACCGCAACTGGAGCAGCACCCGCAACCGCACCTGCAAAGACAACCCGGCAACACATGCTGGTCCTCGAGGGCAACCACGGATCATGTTTGGAGCTGTTTGGGGACCCTCCTGAGGTCTCCTGCGGCCTCGCGGAGGCTATCCCAGGACAGCTGGGCCCCTGGTTAGGGCTCTTCTAGCCTGGACCAGTGGATTACCATAGCAATCATAGCCCCCACGACCATCGTCATCACAAGCACCACCACCACCATCTCCACCATCATCATCATCGTCCTCATGGTCCCCTTTATGATCGTCATCATCAGCGTCATCACCATCACTATTAGATTCGTCCACATCCGTACCCCCGACACCATTAATGTAAGGAAGCGATTTTAAACAACTTTTTGGGGCGGACGATTAAAAAAATTGTTTCGCGGGCCATAGCGGGGGGGCAGGGCAGGCAGACGGGGGGCTGACAATTCCGGGTTGCCTGGAAGGCCAGGGGGGGGGCACGAGGTGGCGATCCAGGGCGCGGGGGCCAGGGTGGTGGACGGGGTGATTGTGCAGGGCGAGCTCGTCGTCCTCCTCCTCCTCCTCCTCCGCCTCCCCCTCGCCCTCCTCCTCCTCTCCTCCTCCTCCTCTTCCTCCTCCTCCTCTCCCTTTTCCTCCCTCTCCTCCTCGTCCTCCTCCTTCTTTTTCTCTTCCTCCTCGTCCTTCTCCTCCTCGTCCTCCTCCTCCTTCTCCTTTTTCTCCGCTTCCTCCTCCTCGTTCTCCTCCTGTTCGTCCTCCTCCTCCCCCCCCCCGTCCGCAAGGACGAGGGCGGCCCTCTCGCTGTCTCGCCTCTCTTTCCTCCTCGTCGCCGCGCGCCGCAGTCCGCAGTCCGCAGATCCGCCTAATTGCGTCGGAAATCTACCTATAAGGAGCCGAACAAGTAGGGCGGAAATTTCTGCACCCAACATAAAATGGGGCGAAAATCTACAGAAGTAGGGCGGAAACAACAACAGAAAAGTAGAGCGGAAATTGGCATCAGCGGGGCTTGAAAAGTAAGGCGGAAATTCCAAGCCCTACTTAATTACGATTTTCCCCAAAGTAGGGCGGATCCGGAGTCAGGGAAGGGAAGCGGGCGCCCCGCGGCCGCCCCCCCTCGAATTGCGCAACGGCGCGCGCGGAAGAGAATTCTGGCGGAGAACGGCAAAGCAGGCGGACCGTCTGTGGCGACGAACGTGCCACGTCGTGCTCTGCCATGCTACGCTTTGATCTTGAACGCCATGCTATGCAATGTTATGTTCGGGGCCGCTGTGCGATGCCATGCTTTGCGTTGCAAAGATTTGTAATGCAAGTCTGCACTGCGCCACGCCACGCCATGCTGTGACATACTACGCTTTGCGGTGCTCTTCAACGCCCTGCCATGCCGTGTTCTACAATGCATCGCGTACCCTTTCGAGATCATTGCCCTGCTCGACATCCAACTGTGCGAGTAGAGAGGGGATCTACGCCATGGTAAGGGATGGGAGGGAGGGGTAGGCTGTCATATATGAAGCGAACGCCGGGGGGCGGACGATTAAAAAAAACAGTTTCAAGCGGCTGAATTCTATTAGTCCGCCCCACTCAATCATTTTGGGGGGTCCGGGGTGGGTGGGGGGGAGGCGTTTTTTTTTTAAATCGCTTCCTCGCATTATTGTCATCATCGGCGTTGCCATGGCTACCGTCGTATCCACAATCGCCACTGCGAGGCATCCCCACTACACGCGGCTGCCTTGTCGACGTAGTGCTGTTCTGCCTTCCTCCTGCTGCTGGTCCCGCTACCCCACGTCCTTTCCTGCCCTCCATTGCACCTCTCTCCCTCGGTCCCCCTCCCTTCTCTTCCCTCTCTTCCCATCCCTGACCCCCTTGCCCACGCGGCTATTCTTTCTGCGGCTACTCCTGTCTGCAATCCTGCGCCCCGGTGCCATTTGCGCTCGAGCTCGTCCCCACGGCGGCCACACGTGCTGCTCGACGTGCACCACGCGCCTGCCTCTCGGCCAGACCCCGCCGCAGCAGCTGACGCGATGCTGGGGCTCCCGGAGCGCCGTGAGCCCAACCTCGCCGCGCACTCCGAGGACGCCAGCCCGTCCAGGCCTCGGCTGGACGAGCAGAACATATTCAGTCTCGCGGTGCCCGATGCGCCCATTGGCGAGCACGCGGCCGCAGAGACCGACGACGCGGAGGCGGGGTGTGTGGCGGAGGCCAACGGCCCCAAGACGGAGGTCTCCGCGACGCAGCCTCTCCGTGGCCTCAGCCGGCTCAGCCGTCGCCAGAGCGGCGGCGCGTCCGCGACCAGCGTGGTGGAGGAGGAGCCGGACGAGGAGGAGTCAAGCTTGCCGCGGTCCGAGAAGTGCTGCTGGGCCTGCAGGAACCATTGCGGCAAGGGGAAGGGTGGCAGCTGCTACTGGTGCTTCGTGATCGTTTTCTTCTTGTTCTGCTTCGAGTTCCCCCTCTTCCTGGTCTGGATGGTGAACAGCCCGTTGCCGAGCCAGTACTGGAACGAGCTGTACGACAAGTTCCCAGTGTTGGAGGATCACTCTTTCATCCTGAAGGACAGCATCACTAGCTTCACGCTCGAGATGTCCGACGTCCCCAAAGCATTTTCGCAATGCAACCACTCATGCGCCGGCGGGTCTGGTTCCGACGTCAGCTTCAATGTCGCTATGAAATTGAATGCACCAAACTTTGAGTACACCGCCTACCCGGTGCTGCTGGCCTCTAACGATTTCGAGAATTGGTGGCTGGCCGCGGACAAGCGCGATTCGACGACGGTGCCCTTCTTCCCGAGCCACAGCGACGAGGACGCTGCGATCTACCAGCACACGACTGGAAAGTGCACCCGCGTGCCAGACATCGTGCAGGACTCCGAGGAGGATACCACAGCCAGTGACCTCGCGACGGAACAGTTCGCGTCCACCCCCACTTACGTGATGGTCTGTGTGGCGTGGTCCTCGGAGAAGGTGGCGTGGCTGGAGGAAAATTCACTCATCGCAGGCGCCGAGCTTGAGAACATCGGCCTCCACTGCGACGCCGTCGGTGGGGTCTGCGGCTGGTCGTGCGGGTCCGGCTCCTCGGACGCCGACCTGCCCGGGTGCTCCGGGGGTGTGCTCAACGTGGACAGAACGAGCATCGCTGGCATTCCTGTGCCGAACGCGAGTTTTGCAGGCTCCATCGACGTCAGGGCCTGCCTGTCGGACGAGATGGATCCTGGGTCCGAGGAGTGCGTTATCTGAAAGGCTTCGCCCCCTGTCGCTGGCCCCTTTTTTGATTGCCTGCGTTGCTGGGCTTCTTGGTTGAGTTTGGTTGGTTGGTTGGGTGGGTGGCAAATTAGTTGGCAGGTTGGCCAAACTGCTGGCTGGTTGGTTGGTTGGCAGGTTGACTGGCTGGTTGGCTGGCTTGCTGGCTGGTTGGTAGGCAGCTGGCTGGCCGCTTGGATGGGGGAAGGGTGTCAAAGGAAAGGAGCGATTTTCGTTGGAATGTCAGAACTGATAGGACCCTGTCGCCCATGGATCGGTGAGTCAGGGGATGGCAGGAAGCGCCAATCGCGATTCATGTTTGGATTTGAGGAGACAAACACGAGCTCGGGTGAGAGAGGACATTCCGGCATATTCGGCCTCTTTGGCTTCAAGGGGCGCCCAAGACTGCCCAAGCGGGCTCCAAAATATCGCCAAGAGTGTCCAACAGGACTCCGGGAGACCTCCAATATGGCCCAGGAGGCTTCGAAGGGATTCAAAGAGGCACCATGAGGCCCACAAGAGGCTCCAATCCAAGACGCTCTGAGAGATGCCTCAGAGGGAATTGTTAGAGTGGCGTTTGTATTTTCACTGTTTTCCGCTTGCTCGGATTTTCAGCTCACCGTGGTTTTACGGGGAGTTCGGAGGGCTCTACTGCTCACGAGGCCCCGAAACACCACAGGGCCCCGAGACGGCTCAAGAGGGCCGCTGGAGGAGCGCAAGATGGTTCAAGAGAATCGCAAAACGGCCAATATGGCGCCCAGCTCGTCCAAGAGAGACCCATACGGCCGTACGACGTCCCGAGAAAGGCATCAGCAGCAGAGAGCAGCACGCATCAGCACCAGACGGTAGCAAGCAGCCGCAGTCGGCAGCAAACGGCGGCAACAGCAAGAAGCGACTCAAGAAGCAACGCTCCCACGTGTGCTCTTGACAGGATATTCGAGGGATCGTGCCCCCTGGAGCGCACATCCATCAAGTCCCTGCCAGCGTTAGGTCGGGCTCGTCCCCCTACAGGGGGTTTTTGGACGAAAAATGAAAAAAATATTCCAGACATTTTTCAAGAGATGCCCAAAACTATTCAAAACATAGTCCCCAGACTATTTTTTTTATTTGTTTGAATGTACCCCCTGTAGAGGGACAGGCCAGACGTAATGCTAGCGTCTCCTTCAGGGTTTCCACAGGTTTCTCCTGAGGTTCGACAGCGGTGCAACATCTCCCCCAGGGGTATCCCGGCGGCACGTGCCGTCACGGTGCCGGACAGTGTTTTGCAGCCAATCGTGACGGGCGCCCCTTGGGCGGCCATGCGATCATCAGTCAAGCAACTGTTCAGCATTGTCACGCCGGATGTATCAGAGTGCGGGTAACTACGAAAACTTTGTCAGGAATCAAGGCCTCTCAGTACCCCCTTGTGAAGCCTCTCGGAACCCGCTAGGGACCCTCCCAACAGCCACTTGATAGCCTGGCACGGGCATACCAAGAGTCCCCGAGGGCCCTCTCAGGATCCTGGACCCTCTCAGGACCCGTCAAGATCCTCTCGGGACCCTCGCGAGACGTTGTGAGGGCCCTCTCGGGGGCTTTCAGGACATTCTTTGGATCCTCTCAAGAGCACCTCAATAGCCTCTCGAGGTATCGCAAAACCCTCTCGGAACCCTCGAAGGACCCTCTTGGAGCACTCTGAGGGCCCTCTCAGGAGCCTCTCGGGACCCACTCAAAAGTATCTTAAGAGCCTCCCATGAGCCTCTCAAGAGCCACTCGCAGCCCTCTCGCGACCCTCTCGGGACAATATTTGGAGCCTCTCAGGACCATCTCATGCTCCTCTTTGAGACCATCTCAGAATCATGTCAGGACTCTCTCAAGACCCTCTCGGGACCTCTTGGGAGCCTCTCAGGGGCCTTTCGGGAGCCTCTCTCACGCTCGGGACCCTCCCAACAGCTTCACATGGGCCTTTCTCACGAGCTTCTCATAATCCTGCTATTCGGATACTTTGCTGGGACATTTTTTTGCACGGGGCATCGCGGTCCTGAGAGCGCGGGCCCGCAGTGTTTCCATGAGCCTCAGGATGCTCAAAGGCTGAGGAAACAGCCCTCGGGGAGGCGAACGACTAAGGCATGTTCGGGTCTGGGGATTTCGCGAGGGTCGTAAAGTTGGAGTTGCAGCACTTTGGAAACTGAGCTCAGCAGAAGACATGGTGGCCAACTGGTTGAATTCCGAAGATGTGTGCAATGCTGATGGCTGTCTGAATGCATGTCGACCAGCTGCGCTACCAAGTTGCTGAAGCCTGGGCCACGCAGCCTGGTGGCCCCATTCGGTGGGTTGGCTGACCTCAACGGTGCCTATGTCCGAGTGGCCGTGTCAGCAGTGTCGCCAGACCAAGTTTGGGGATAACAGCGAGGCGACGCACTTCGACTACGACAGCCTACCCCGGATGCAGATCAACCTGCGTGGGGCCGCGGACGTCAGCGGCTGGCTACCTGGCGCCGACGCGGTGCCCCGCGCCTATGTGTTCACGTCTGGCGTCGACGTCAACAGCGCTGGCCCCGCTGGCATGATTGGTGGCTCCTGGAAGAGGCTGTACGAGAACCCCTCCGTGTACGACGGAATCGCTAACCCAGCGCCAGACCTGCTTGCACTCGTAGAGGGAACAGATGAGGCGGCGGACGACGAAGACACCACGGCGTCGCCGACTGTTCGAGACTCGACTTGGAATACGATGCAGTTCTGGGACATGAACAAAGTCACGCTCAAGCCTGATAAGTGCTTTGCGGCGCGTGGACCGCTGTACCTTGTCGCGTGCGCTGTGAACAGCAGCATGTATGGAGGGGACGGCTTCGAGCTCGAGCTCGCGCAGACAGTGGCGCCGCCGCCGTTCAACGACCGGTGCCTCGCGGTCACAGGCAGGTGCGCGTACGCGTGCGCGCACTTGGACCAAGCTGCGCCCCTGGAGCACTGCCTCCCAGACGGCACCATCGACTTCTCGAAGCTGACCTCGAACTTCGAGACTCCGTCGAACGATGGATACGCGGTCAACTCTTTCGTGCTGGTGCTGCTCATCGGGTTCGCAGTGAGGTTGGTGACATACTTCCCTGGTCTCTTCATTCCGTACAAGCACCCCAAGTACTACGATCCCGCGATGACTGGACAGCTCAAGTACATCGCCGTCTGCGCGCCGAGCGGAGGCGAGACCAAGGCATGCGTGTTGCGCAACGTGGTCGGTGCCTTCTCGGGCATGCCCAGGAAGTGCCAGTGCCCCTTCTACGTGATCTTTTGCGACGAGGGCCACAGGCACCCGCAGAAGGTGATGTTCAAGGCCCTGGTGACAGTCCTGAAGCACATCCCGGACATATCCCTCAACCAGAGCAAGGGCGTCCCGAAAACTCCACGGGGGCAAAACGAGTGCAACGCCGCCCTGAAGGAGGACAATCTCAAGACCTTCACAAAGCTGTGGGTGGAGCAGACCCGCCTCTTTAGGCTGGACCAGTGCAACACTGCGAAGACTGCGGACAAGATTAAGAAGCTGAGGAAGGCGCTCAAGGATGGCGAGGAGCCTACGACGGAGATCAAGAAATTGGAGAAGCAGCTCGACGACCTGGCGGGCGTCAGTGCGCTGAGGACGCTGCAGGCCCGCTCTGGCTGGCCGAAGAGCGGCGACGGCTCTCGGGGCGGCGAGCTGATTCGTGACCTGGAGGAGGCGCTCCAGCAGGTCCGGAAAGAGCTCACGTGCGGCGAGAAGACGTTCGACGGGGCCGGCGTCTGCGACAAACGCGTGCCGGTTCATCTGGACGATGTCGAGGCGTACTCCTGGACCTCGAACGAACATGGCATACATAAGCTTTCGGAGGTCCGCTCGGATTGATTGGGTCGGCGCTGGACCCACCTCCCCACATCCCAAGGGCCGCCCCAGGCGCCCGGGAAGGGGTGTCGAGAGGGTCCAGTGCCAATCCACGGACTCCGCGCGGGCCGCCGACGGTTTATGTTCATGCAGTTCTTTTTGCTATTCTAGGACCCCGCGCCCATCGAGCTCGAACCCGAACCCGTCGCCCCTCTACACGCTGCATTATCTCGCCCGCGCTAAGCCCGACGAGGACCATCAAGCGGTGATCGCAATTACCCAACATCTGGGGCAGAAGCACAAGGAAACGCCAAAGGAAAACGCCTTCTGCAGAGGGTGGACGTTTGCTTCCTCTTGTGTCGGGAGTAGGCGTTTCTTGTACTTCCAACCCAGAGCTCGGGTGACGTGCCCACCCCTTCATCGTCAGCCCAAGGACGACCGTATCCTGAAGGTACAGCACGTGGCTCGGGGTGTGTGGTACTACAAGGTCCCCCAGCTCGAGGAGGCCCGGCGCCAAAAAAGCTGGCTCGAGTGGCGCAGACACGCGCAGGAGTCCTCAGAGGGCACCTGCACACCACCAGGCCTGGCAAGGGCCGTCCCGGACCCATGGGATGGAGTGTGTGCCCGCCTGGCCTCGGCCCAGAGAGCGTGCACACCATGCCAGGGCACAGGACGGCCCTAGACAGGCACGGTGGCGGTGAGCAGATGCCTTCTGCGTTCAGGAGTTCACCGATGCGGATTTCGACACGAAGAAGTATCTGGTCCCCGTGCGCACGAGCCGCGGAAAGGCTGGCGGCCTGAACTTCGTCGAGAACTATCTAGGGCACCTACGGCGAGCCACCGCCACCCCATGCCGTGTGGAAAGGCACGGCAGAGGTGGTCAAGAGTCGTGTTCTGAACAACAAATCGGGAGATGCTTCGAAGCGGCTCGTGGAGGGGCGCCGTCCTGGGCCTTCTTGGGGGCACACTTGGGCTTTCCTGGGGGCCTCCTGGGTCCTTGGGCCCTATTGGGGCCCTGTCGGGCCGTCTTGAGGCGCTCGTGGGCCGACTGGCGCCCCTGGAGGCAGTCTTGGGCGTATCTTGGGGCCGTGGTGGGGCTGTCTTGGGACCCCTGATGGCTGTGTCGGGGCCCTCTTGGGCCATCTTGGGGCCGTCGTGGGCCGTCTTGTGGCCCTCTCAGGGGCCTCTTGGGCCGTCTCTGGGCAATCTCGGGGGCTCGTTGAGGCAGAAAAGTGTCGGAGGTGGATAGACCTCCTACCCTGACACGTCGATTAAGGAATTGGCCGTTTTCGGCTCGCGAGAGGGCGTCGCGGCCGTCATTTTCGCGGGTCCAGGTCCGTCGGCTTCGGTCCCAGGCCGTTTTCTTTAAGGGGAGTTTTTTTCTAAAGGGAGGTTTGTCCACCGCCGAAAGTAGAGAATGTTGAACAGAAGCCCAGGGAATGCCAATACACCGAGCAGCCCTCCAGCAGGCTTCGGGGGCGGTGGATCGAGTTGCCTTCGGCCCATTCCGTCACCATGCCTGGGCCGTTTCAGCCTCTTGTCGGGGCCGCTTCTGGGCCAGCTCCCCTCTGGGCCCCTCTCCGGAGGCCCGCTGGCGGTACCGTGGACAATCGTCGGTTGATGAGCTCCGAATGCTCAGTCGAGTTTCCCATTTGGGCTCCCTCTTGGGACCGCCGTGGGGGCCTCTGGGTCTTCTCGTGGGGGCGTGCTGGCTGTCTTGAGACGATGTTGGAGGCCTCTGTGGCCGTCTGGGGCAGTCCCATTATTATAACGAGATGCTAAGGTCAACGACTTATTCCCTACCAAGGCTCTGCCTAGAGGGTTCTTACTCTCTTTCTTAAAGGGGCCGGGCAGTGGAAACCGCCCCGGGCGGTTCCCCCAGTATCCGCCCCGCGGTTCCCCCAGTTGCGCCCCCTGGCTTCACCCAGCTTAGCTTAGCTTAGCTTAACTTAGCTTAGCTCAGCTTATCTCATCTTAGCTTAGCTTAGCTTAGCTTAGTTTAGCTTAGCTTAGTTGTGCCTAGTCTAGCTTAGCTTAGCTTAGCTTAGCCTAACTTATCTAATATTAGCTTAGCTTAGCTTATCATGGCTTAGCTTAGCTTAGCTTAGTTCAGCCTAGCCTAGTTTAGCTTAGCTTAGCTTATCTTTAGCTTAGCTTACCTTAGCTTAACCTAGTGCAGCGCAGCATAGCGCAGCGCAGCATTAGCACAGCATGGCATAGCATAGCATAGCCAAGCATAGTATAGCAGAGCATAGCATAGCTCAGCATATCATATCATACCATAGCATAGCGCAGCATAGCATAGCATAGCATAGCATATCATAGTATTGCTTGGCATAGCACAGCGCAGCATAGCATAGCATAGCATAGCATAGCGGTGCATATCACAGCATAGCATAGCATAGCATAGCGCAGCATAGCATACCATAGCACATCATATCATAACATAGCGCAACATAGCATATCATAGCACAGCATAGCATAGCATAGCGCAGCATAGCATAGCATAGCATAGCATAGCATAGCATAGCATAGCATAGCATCGCGCAGCATAGAACAGCACAGCATAGCCTAGCATAACACAGCGCAGCCGAGCGTACCCTAGCATAGCATAGCATAGCGCAGCATAGCATAGAGCAGCATAGCGCAGCATAGCGCAGCATAATCGCTCTTTGATGTCCTGTATGCGTTTACATGCTGTGCATGCTGAATGCATTGTCATGCTGTGTATGCCGTATACGTTGTATATATGTTGTGCATGTTGTATAGGTTGTACATGTTGTACATATTGTATACGCATCATATGCTGTATACATTGTGTATGCTGTATTCGAAATTCGTTTCGGGGCCACAGGGAGCCCTGCGCGGTTTGGGCGGGGGGCTTGTCCCCCCTTTGTCCCTTCCGGGTTCTGGGTCCCTCCAGGTTCCGGTGCCATTGTGGCTCAAGCGCTTCGCTTTCCAGGTGGCCCCAGGGGGCTCCTCTGATCTGTCTGTCTGGTATCAGAACAACGTAGATAGACGTGATCAGCCTCATCGGGACCCAGAGGCGTTCTGGGACAACGACAAGGAGAAGTGCCCCGGCGCTGGGACAAATCGTGCCGGCCATGGCCGGTAGAGACGCTTATGCGTTCTGGATGTAGATGTACATGTAGGTGTACATGTAGGTGTAGATGTAGATGTAGATGTGAGTGTAGATGTAGATGTAGATGTAGATGTAGATGCAGGTGTACATGTAGATGTAGCTGTAGGTTTAGATGTGGATGTAGGTCTAGATGTAGATGTAGGTATTAAGCTGTACTAGTACTATTATTACTACTACTACTATTACTACTACTACTACTACTACTACCGCTACTACTACTACTACTACCACTACTACTACTACTACTACCACTACTACTACTACTACTACTACTACTACTACTAACACCACTACTACTACTACTACTACTACTACTACTACTACTACTACTACTACTACTACTACTACTACTACTACTACTACCGCTACTGCTACAACTGCGACGATGAGGAGAAGGAGGAGGACGGCGTTTACCGTTACTATCAATATTGCTCTCCTAGGGACTCCAACTCCTAGGTAGGGTCGCTCTGGGATAATATTTATATGTGTACTGATATATATATATATATATAGTAGTAACTCTAGACGCTCCGAGTAACCCCACCAGCCCATCCAGAGACGATGCCCAGAGGATTTGCCACGATCAAGGAAGTGGGCAACACGCAGATGAAGGGTCCCTCATGGAGCGCTCTTGGCACACTCTTGGGCACTCTTGGGGCCGTCTTGGGGCTATCTTGGGCCTCTTCTTGCGTCTTGGGGACTTCTTGGCGGTCCCGGGGGCCTCTTGGAGCGTCTCGGGGAGCCTCTTGGATGTTTGTGTCCTCTTCGGGGCCTCCTGGGCGAGCTCCTTGGCCACATGGAGCCGTCTTGGAGCGGTCTTGGGGCCTCTGGGGGGCATCTTGGGAGCTGTCTTGAGGCATCTGTGGATATCTTGAGCTATCTTGGAGGTCATCTTGGGCTCTCCCAGGCGCTCTTGAAGCCATCTTAATCAGTGCCCCCCCAGGAGGCCAACATGTGGCCAACACCTAAGTAAAATCAATGATTTTGGTAATCTCCCTGAGGCCTCTTGGGGCGTCTTGGATGCCTCTGGGGGGCCTCCTGGGGCCTCTTGGGGGTCTCTTAGGAGCCTCTTGGGGGCCTGTTGTGGGCATCTTCGGGCCTCCTGGGCACCTATTGGGGCTCTCTTGGAGCGCGCTCCTTGGATACCATCTTTGATTCTAAAGCGAGCTGAGGGACGCAAGGAGTGGAAGCGAGCGTGCGCCCGCGGCCGCGTCGGCTCAAGCGGCCGGCCGCCCAAATATGAGTGTGCTTCACTGCGAGGCACGCAATCGCTATCGAGACCAAAAGGATCTTCCTGTTGCGTGAGATGGCATCTCCTCTCATACTGGGACTATCGTTACTACGGTACAACAGAGCGGGAGTTTGGCTTCGCCTGAGGCGAAGCTGTTGGCTGGGCCTTCCAGCCCCCTTCAAACTTGGTAGCTGAGCTGGCCTATGGTGGTCAGCTCTAGCTCTACTCCTCACCATCCACGGCACTATCTGGTGGACTACAGACATGGTGGAGGAACATCAGGGTGCAGTGGGTTCGCGCGGAGGAATGTATATAAGTACGCAGTACCGCAAGGAAATTTGCAGCGATACCTCTGTCCAAGCGGAGGTCTCTCACTCACATCTTACATCCCTGCGCTACTACACTCCTGAAGTTCACCAACCTACTCCACTTGGAAATTTCTGCGAAGACATAATGCATGGAAACATGCGGTACGACATACTGCCGCCTCGCACCCCACGCAGACTTACGACTAAACAACATAAGTCCCAACCGATTACATCCGACTACGACCTACGAGTCCATTGGATTGGGGTTACTATCTTTGGTCTCATATGGGTCGCAATTGGGTGTGCGGTAGGACATGTGCGGGGCGGATGCGACACAAGAACGACTGGCCCCCATTGGGACCCCGCCGGTCAAGTACCTTTTTCGCGAGTTCGTACGCGAAGTAAATGCCTGGATCAATGTGACCACAGGCAATATGACGCCCCCCCCCCCCCCCAGCAAACCGCAGCATTGCAGCGAGGTTTGGGAGGTCTCGGACGGACCATTTCCATGATAGTCCCCCCAGCAGTTAATAATTTTGGCGTCGATATAGGCGGGCGCCACACCGACGGCGCCACCTACAGTATGTTCCTCTTAAGCATGAAGTTCGAGAACCTAGAGGAGGAACGCCAACTCAACTCTGGTACGGCTCTTATTGACTTTCGAGTCCTTGCGGGTGAACGTATTGAC